AGGGTAATTAATTTTTAAGTATTAATCTTTAGGGTCTGCACTATATCAATTGAATCAATATTAAAAAGCAATTTAATGTTTCGACAAAGCAATTTCTATTAATTCAAAAATTGAGTCAGCATGGAATGGCGTAATTCATCGTTAACTATTTATATTTAGGGACGACATTAGATATACATTGAAACAATATCAAGAAGCATTACAATGTTACAATGAAGCAATATCTATTAACCATATTCATTCTTTTGCATGGTATCAAGAAGCAATTGAATGTTACAATATATCTATATTTATTAACCCTAAATGTGATGGAGCATTTGAAAATAAAGGTGTAAATATTTTTTTTTATTCAGGTTTAATCCTAAACAAATAATAAAAATTTATGGAGGCACTCTCAAATTTCGAGTAAGCCCTTTAGTTAAAAACTACTGCACTTTGATTTAAATTTAAAGGTAAATTCTTCTGTAACAATAATTTTAGCTGATTCATTATTTGAATTACGTAGATAATAAGAAGCTAAATACTTTTATTTGGTTGCATAGGGACTTGGATTGGGTTAGGATGCTCATATACAAAATTAACTGTCAAAATTATGAAGCATTATCATATTGGGATATTTACAATTTTATATTCACATCTATTTATCCAAAAACAAATTTCTTAAGTTTATTTTTAAAAGAAAAATAGTATATATAAATAAAGTTTACAACTATTTGTGTATATTTTTACGATTATTTTAATATACACATTTGATTCCCCTTTAGGTTTTTTTTCTATCGAATCTTTCATTGTGAATATATCTTCAGCAAAGTTCAGCCTAAAACAATATAAATATGCAAACAGTATTTGAAAAATCAACTTATGACTTTATAGTTAATTTTTGCGTGACATCTATTAGAATCTTTTCTTATGCATTATGTGTTTATGACTAAATTGAATAAGGATCCACATTAACTAGCACCTGACATATAATATTTACAATCATGAGCTAACTTTCTATGATGAATTCTATCTAAATCCAAATATATGAAGAGCATGTAGCTAAATATGTGTTGATAATACTTGCAAAACTGAAATGTTGCATTTATAAATATACTGACACAAAATCAGAAACTCATATCTCCAACAAATTACGGGCACTGTAATTACAAATAGTAATGGCTTCAGAGTCATATCTAAGCAGCCATCTAACTGAATATTGGATCTATAAATATTCATATAATTTTGATTGCGTATAACTAATAATCACAAAGAGGTGATGAGCTATCATTATAATTTTCAGGAGATTACAAAAAAACAGGCTGGGACTCATCTAGAAATTAGAAGGATGATATTGATATAAGAACTGCAGCTATAGACGAGATAAATATCAAGCGATAATTTGTGAAACTCTGGACTGTTTTAAATCAGCAGGCAATTGTACTACTTATTATGATGGCTTCTTGCTAAGAGTATTACCTAATTTAAAGCATTTTTAACCTCCTAATTTAGTCAGCCTATCTTAAAATGATGTGATAAATGTGAAGCTAATTAATTATTCATGCTCTCCCTATTAATATTCTTAAGCAAATTACAGCCTAATTGTGCTAAAATTTCGAATAATTGACCCTATGTGCTGCCAGCACTTGTACAAGATCCTAACATGTATTAGTTTTTAATTGAGACTTTTATATTTCTGCACTGTTAATAGCTCTACTCTTATATGTTCTAACTATGCAACTTAAATTCATTTTAAATAATGTAACTCCGAAGTTTTTGAAATATGAAGTGAGAGATGAAATACGAAACAGCAATATAAACTACAAAGACAACATCCCTAAAAATTTTCATAAATATTAAAATTTGTAAGCTAAAATGCACAAGTACCAAGAAACATCCAAATACATAACTCTAATTGCACCAATATTTATCAAATACATTTAAAGCAATTTAATCTACTTTTAAATAAATGCATGTAATCAAAATTCTATAAGTTACTCTTGTTTAAGACATATATTTGCTATTATTATCAGCGAGAGTAACTTTATCAATAAATAACTCCTATTTGCCAAAAATAACACAAGGGAAGGAACAAACTTGATATGTATTATCTACCTTAAGAACGAACCAATAATACAATTAATAAATGTAGTGACGTTGACTACGGAAGCTTAGGAAGTCGAACATAAAGTGCAGGCACCAGGATCTAGTAAGGTTTCCTAATAAATAACCAAAAATATTAAGAAACAATAGCTGATGCAGCTTTATTATTGACAAGTTAATAAGGAGTTGTTGCTGGTAATACAGTTTAGGGTCTTATTAAAGTCATATAAAATAAGATGTGAATTGCAGGCATCTTTCATCCATTACTGCAAACTCTTCGTTAATTGTCCAAAAAAAACTGAGGATATCCACAATTTTTCTTGTTAAAGCATATTGTATTGACAAAATTTTCCTATTTGTCTAACATCTTCAGAGCTTTAAGTGAAAACTTTAAAGCTACAATTACATTTAGTAATCATTGACTCTATGAAATTAATCAAGTGAGACTGACCTTGTTTTTTAATCATTCCACGGCCTACTCATCCAATAACTTAGAGTTCCACTCTGAAATATAATATTAATGAGCTCCATCCTAATATTCTTTTGCAGTCTTGCTCCAAACTCTTAAAGCAATTTGATATTAAAAGTCCTTACTCTATATTACTAAATGTCATAGAGGTTAGTTTTTAGTTTTGGCAGTTTCAAATTGATCCTCAAGTATCAAAATAATACTTAGTGATGATTGGCTTCTTTCATTAAGACAAAATACTTATTCTCAAGGAGACTTACTTCTTTGAGTTCTAGTAGTGCCTGGATTTCTTTTAATAGCTCGTAGTTTTGTTTTCCATCTTCTTCCAGTTTTCTCGGTGAGTATATGAAACTGTCTTAATTGATATCATGGATAACTACAGAAAAGCAAATGTTAATAAAGACTAATATTTTGCTCAGCAATCTAATCTTATTACAAATCTAATTGCATGGCTAGCATGAATTAGAATTTACCATATAGAAACCTCATAGATATTGTTAAGAAGTGCCACCATTTATTGTATCAAGAATAAACGCTTAGTGTACTACTACAATTTCGAAAAAAAGTTTACAACCCTAGTTTCCAACTTTTTTGGTGATATAGGTTATATTTGTTAGGTAACGTTAATAATAATTCTCATATTCGCTTATTTTACTAATAGAACTTGTAAAGATTCTTTCGGGCTTAAATTTTATATTCTCAAGATTATCCTTAAGGTTTTTGAAATGGAGAAATTATTATCACTTATTTTAAATAATTAATATTTGGGTACCTGAGTAATATATATATTACTTACCACTCTTTCAAGGTATGTCTAAGCTGTGC